TGTATTGATTATTTTTTGAAAATGTAATTTTGCTCGTTGTTGGTCGTTAGTGTGCATGTGTTGTATACTCACCACTGTATATGGCCGTGCTGTTGTGTTCGGGGTCGTAGGGACACAGGGCGGTGCCCTCGTACTCCTTGTCCATCTTGTACTCGCCATCCTGCGGGGAAACAAAACAAAAACACAGGACGAGTTAGCAAAACAGTGAAATGTATTTTATACTGCCAAAGAGGTGAGCGTGAGCGTCCGTCCACCGCAAGTCTGCCGGGCGCAGCCACACCCTGCCCTGCTCCACAAACCACCTCCTCCTCCTCAACTACCCCGTCACTTGCGATGGGGACGCTGTTAAGTGCCACATGCCGGTCACACTTTGGCCAGAAACTTTTCAATCATGACGTCACCCGACGATGGGGAGAGACGGGGAAAAGAGGGAGGGTATAAGATCCAGGATAGAGGGGCGTGGTGGTGGGGGGGGTGGGGGTCTTGGAGGGAGCCGCAAAGGGCAAAAACTGCAGCATCAGAGAGCCCCGCGGCCCCGGGGCTGGCGGCAGCTCCCCCGCCCACGCCCACCAAACCCGAAGCCACGCCGCACCACAAGCAACGTGCAACTCAGAATGGAAGTCAAGTTTCTGTGCGCCGGCCGGCCGGACGACGCCCGGGCGAGCGGCGGCGGAGCGAGGCCAGAGGCGGCCGCGCCTGGGCGCCGAGGCCGGGGCGGACCCTGCCTCCCAAACTGGGCAAAAACTCGTTTTCGTGACAAAATCGGGCATTCCTCTCTCGCCCTGCTGCTGCTTCTGCTAGTGCACGGCTTCAGTGGCTCAGCCGGGTTCTACTGGGTGAGTCACGTGACCAAATAAGACTTCGGGTCGGTCGGGGAGAGGGGAAAAAACTCGACACACGGTCGGTCGGTGCGCGAGGGGTGAGAATCTCAAGTGGCGCGCGCGACACTTTGCTCCAACACAAAACGACTCCCGGTGGGAAGACAAATCTCGCGAGCGTCAGTCTGCGGCAGTGAGCTTGTTCGGTCGCGCTTGCTAGCGATTGTCTTAGCGCTCTCTCAAAAGGAAAAAGAAAGAAGAAGAAGAAATATTCAAAAGAGTCTCCCGCGCTCTCCCATGCCGGGCTGTCTATCCAAAGGGACACACACCCTCTGAGAAACCTTTCCAGAGCAATAGTGAGATTTTCCAGACAATTTCACATAGCCCCAGAGGCTGCTGCCTGCCGGGGGGGTCCGCAGGGTGCCGTCGAGGGGTTGAAGTGAGGAGGGGGAGGGGGTGGGGTAATATCGCCCTATCCTTCACAAAAACGTCATCGGCAGATGTGGTCGATCAGGATGCGATCACCAGTCCCCTCTCCAATTCCGAACACCCCCTCCCCCTCCCTCTCCCCTCACATCACTCCGTGCCCTACACGCGCGCACCCGATCCGATTTTGCCAACCACTCACAAATATATATGTTATTATTATTTTTTTTTTTAAAGATCAGAGACAACGTCCATTTTAAAAGAGCTATCGGGTGTTTCTTAGCAAGTTTAAAGGATCATGTCCATTAAGTAAAAAACCGTTATTAAATATTTCAAAGGGCCAACCACTTCGACGGAATTATAGTTCCCCGCTCCTCGCGATAAACTTAATTGGGCTTCATATCTATCAAAGACCTCTCGAAAGATCTGTTTCATTATCCATATAGAGAGCCGTGGTAAAGTATATATGCCACGTCTGCGCATTGAAGTCAGGTGGTTTGAGTGCGATGCTTAAGCATGAGCGGGTCTCGTCGCTCAGTGGAGCGTAGCGGCGGCGGTGCGGGCGGCGCCCGGGTCAGCGGGACTCAGACGGGTCAAACAGACGAGGGGCGCACGAGAGAGACGGGGATATACAGAACAGAAGAAAGAAAGAGAGGGGCAGAGATAGGGGGCGAGCTGAGATCCAGCGGTCCAGGGGGCACGCAGCAGAAGCATACCCTGCTTGGAATTTGAATAATTCATCGTGATTTGCGAAGGGAGACGAGCCGGCCCGGGCCGGCCAGGCCGAGTGGGCCGAGCGAGCCTCGAGTCGCGCGTATAAAACGCCTTGCTGTGCAAATTAAACTATACATGCACCTCAGCATCGCGTTCAAAAAGTACCAACACAGCACAATGGCGGGAAAGTTTCAAATTAAGCTCCGCGCCGCCTCCTGCTGTAAGTTAAGTTGATTTGCCGAAATTAAAAAGCAGCCGCGTCAGCATGATTGCAATCAGAAAAACAAAGTGTGCGAATTCCTACCTTTCAAAGGCACTAAATGAGACCTTTCACACCTTAGCTGGCTAGCTTCATATGAGTTCCATTCCATACAAGCTTAGTGCCATTGGAAAGGCACGAAACTTTTAGTGCCCCAGGAAAGGCACTAAACTGCGCCCTTGACTTTAGTGTGGTGTTGTTTAGTGCCTTTGTTTTTCCAGTGTCATGGGGTAACAAATCTCCCTTTATTTTCAGGGCAAACCTCATTGTAAAACTACAGTGATGGTGGGGAGCAAACAATCCACGGTAAATATTGTTACAATTCCCTTCCCTTATACGCGTGCGCTTTACAGAGTACTGCTTACAAGGGTACGAGGGTATTTGAACCCGCACAATCGCATGTTGTCCTCGGGCCGGGCCAGCCGGCGAGCGCGGCGCAGACAAGCCATCTGGGGTGGAGAGAGGATAGGAGGGGGGGGGGGG